GGGCTCGATCTCATACTCCTGAGATCATGACCTGAGCCAAAACCAGGAGTCAGACACTTATCCAACTGAGCAACCCAGGTGCCCCAAAGATAACTTTTTTTAAAAGTTTATTTATTTAAGTAATCTCTATACCCAACAGGGACTTAAACTCACAATCCTTCTATCAAGAGTTGTATGCTCGACCAACTGAGCGAGCCAGGCACCCCTGAACATAGCTCTTTATCCTATCTGTAAATCCTTTTCTAAATCTGTTGCCTTATTTTTTTTTAAACATCCAGGTGTGCTGTGTGGTTTATGCAGTAGGTCTGTTGATCTGTTCGTTGTGATTCTGTTACTGCTCCTAGTGACTTTCTAGTCATCTTCACTTAGGATGTTATATAAATATTAAATTCTGTTCACTTGTGATTTTTTGTTTGACTTCAAAAAATATTTCAAGTGTAATTCTCTCTAGAATTTACTTTGATTCTTTTTTTTTTTTTTTTAAATAGGGAAGAGGGGGAGGTCAGAGGGAGAAGGAGAGAGAGAATCTTAAGCAGGCTCCATGATGTGGGACTTGATTTCACAACTCTGAGATCATGACCTGAACTGAAATCAAGAGTCTGACCCCTAACTGACTGAGCCACCCAGGCGTCCTAAGTTTGCTTTGATTCTTAGGTTAATTGAGAGTCTCTTTTGTTTTCCCAGAATTGTTAATTGGCTATTGTGATATCAGTTATTAATCCTTCCCTTCCCCAATTTACTTATGAGGTCTCCTTTAGTGTTTATTAAATTGTGACATGTTTTTTATAGGCTACATTTTCCAAACTATTTTCTTTCTATAATCTATTTTTCCTGTTGCCCTCTGTTGTAGTTATTGTAGTCTTAAAATATTGGTCATCCCCTTATCTTCTCCTCTCTTAGGGAGCCTTGCTTGCTTAATTCCCTAGCTGAAATTTAAAAGAATTTCAAAAACTGGTTTTGGGTTTTAAAGTTAAAAAAATAAAAAACTTTGTGGATTTTCAGTAGGAATTACATTAAACAATCTATAAAGTGATTTCTTTTTTTTTTAATGATTTTATTTATTTATTTGACGGACAGAGATCACAAGTAGGCAGAGAGGCAGGCAGAGAGAGAGGGAGAAGCAGGCTCCCTGCTGAGCAGAGAGCCCGATGCAGGGTTCGATCCCAGGACCCTGAGATCATGACCTGAGCCGAAGGCAGAGGCTTTAACTCACTGAGCCACCCAGGTGCCCCTATAAAGTGATTTCTGAAACAAATCACTATCATTTCAATCTTTTGTCACTAGCGAACATGTTCTGTATGTTCACATACAAGTCTATTCTTTTTAGCATTTCTTAACTTTTTTAAAATTTATTTAAATTCAATTGAGTTGACATAGAGTGTATTATTCGTTTCAGGAGTAAAAGTTAGTGTTTCATCAGTTGCATGTAATACCCAGTGCTCATTCCATCACATGCCCTCATTAATACCCATCATCCGTTTAACCCATCCCCTGCAGGCACCTTCCCTCCGGCCACCCTCAGTTTGGTCCCTATAAGTGAGTCTTCTGTGGTTTGTCTCCCTCTCTGATTTTACCTTCTTTTACTTTTCCTTCCCTTCCACTATGTTCATCTGTTTTGTTTCTTAAATTCCACATATGAGTGAGATCCTATGGTATTTGTCTGTGATTGACTTATTTCACTTAGCGTAATACCCTCTAGTTCCAAAGACATCTTTGTGCACTTTTCTCCTTAATATTGGTTAGATACAGTTCCCATTCTGGTTATCTCTGTATATTTCATATTATTATTGCTGTTTGAAGTAGGCTCTTTAAAAATTATATTTTATTGCTGACATGTGGGACTACTACTGAATTTTGCATATGTATTTTGATTAGCCACTTTGCTGAGACCTTTTAAATTTGTGTAGTTTGTCAGATGAGTGCTTTGGTTTTTTGAGGTTATGCAGTCATTTCATATGTGCATGATAATCATTCTGTCTGTTTCCAGTGTTTGTGTCTTTTGTTTCTTTTGCCAAAACTTCCAAGATCATATTCAGAGATACTGGTGATGGAAGGGATCCTTTATTTTGCTCTTTGCTTTCAAGAGAAAGCTTCTGACATTTTCCTTGATGTTGCCTCTAGCTTGAATGAGATCTGTCGCTTTTACCCAAAGGGGCTGTTATGATTTACAACCACAACAAAGATTCTTTTCTAGCCCTAGCCCATTGCACATCTGGCACAAAGTACTAGGAGACTAATTGTTTGGATGTGTTTGTTCTTTCTAGAATCCCTAGCCTGCTCCAAACTTTGAGCCTACAGCGCTAGTCTATTTCCAGCCCTTGATCTCCCTCTACCGAAAGCCTGAGTTCCCGGGTATTTGTATTAATCCGGGGGATTCGTTCCTCTCTAGCAGGACCTCAAACCCTCTTCTGCCAGCCCCACTGGCTGATGTAAGAGCCAGTGCCTCACATTGGACAGTGGCAGGGCTAGAGTCACTCAAGCAGACTCCCCACTGAGCTCAGAGCCCCACGACCCCAAGACCATGACCTGGGCCGAAATCAAGAGCCAGATGCTTAACCAACCGAGCCACCCAGGTGCCCCAGGACACTTCTTAATAGCATGCCCTATAGAAGACACCTGTGGATTCTCAGTTGTCTGGACTTCTGCCCTTGCCCCATCTGTCCCCTTTCTTTTCCCAGCCCAGCTCTGTGAGGTTGCCAGTCCCCCTACTTTACCCTCCGAGCATGCTGGGACACTGCCGGCCCTGTGCGCTGGAGGTCTTCCCAGTCCAGTGGGAAAGCAGACACGGTTACCATGGCACAAGATGAAGAGGTCTCATTCCTGCTTTGAGACTCCAAGCCTGGAGCCACTAACTGCCTAGAGCAGCCAGAAAAGGTTTTTAGAGGAGGTGACATTTGAGCTGCTCCTAGAGCAAGGGTAGAAATTCTGTGGGTGGTTGAGGGAGAAGGGCTTCAATTATGACTATTTTTTTTTAAAGATTCTATCCATTTATCTGACAGAGAGAGAGATCACAAGTAGGCAGAGAGGCAGGCAGAGGGGAAGGGGGAAGCAGGCCCCCTGCTGAGCAGAGAGCCCCATGTGAGGCTTAATCCCAGGACCCCAAGATCATGACCTGAGCTGAAGGCAGAGGCTTAACCCACTGAGCCACCCAGGCGCCTCCCCCCCCAATTATGAATATTTTGACAGACTTTCCATACTGTTGCTGTTCAGAATGGGATCTATAAAAACTACATATCATTACTGGCATGTAGGAATATTAACTAAATTTTGCATATTTATTTTGGAGCAATCTTTAAAGGCTTAGGGGCCCAGGGGAGTCCAGCCTCTTTGGGGCCAAGACAAGTTTGCAGAGAGACCAGACAGTGCTGTCTGAGTTGGTTAGTGCTCCTGAGGTTCATGGGTTAGAGGAGGGTGATCCCAGTAATGGGGATGGTTCAGGAAGATTTCCAAAGAGGTGGGATGGGAGCTGGCCTTGAAGCATAGAGAGGATTTGGGTAGAGTGGGAAGGAGAGGGTAAAGTGGAGGAGGTGGATAGAAACAGCATCACCACCCCCACTGCACACCTGCCAGGTATTTTGTTAGCACGTTGTCTTTTTCATATTTAACTTTCCTGTCAACTCTGCTTGGTCGATGGTATTAGCACGGCTGTTCTGCAGATGAGGAAATTGAGGCTTGGGGACTTTAAGTGACGTAGTGTGCAGCTGGAGAACCTGATTTCTGAGCTTCCATGCCATTAGTGCGTCCCTGCTGGCATATGTACTCAAACAGTTCAGCGGTTCAGGCACATTCCCGGAGCTGTGCAACTGTCATCAGCATCCAGTGTTAGAGCCCCCACCCCCAGCTGCTGACCCCCAGGCCCTCCAGCCCTAGGCAGCCACTGCCCTACCTTCCATGTCTAGACATCCGCCCGCTTTGGACATTTCATGTCAATGGCCTCATAAAATCTGTGATCGTTTTCTGACTGGCTCTTGCCGCTGAGCCTCCGGTTGTCAAGGGTTATCCACACTCTGGCTCGTATGGGTACTTTGCTTCTTTTTCTGGCCAAACGATATTCTTTTTGATGGATGACACCACATTTTGCTTAGCCAATCATTCTGCGGATGGACAGGCGGTGGTTTGCATATGGGGGCTGTTGGGAGTAACGCCCCCGTATGCAGTGTTTTCAGTTCTCTCCGGTGGACCCCTCGAGTGGACTTGCTGGGTCACGGGGTAACACCGGGCTTACCCATTTGGGAAACGGCCGGACTATGCTCCACGGGGCCCGCCCAGCTGCCTCTGGCTCAGGTTGGCCTTCAGAGGCTCAGGGCTGGGAGGAAGGGCAGACCACACAGTCTGTGTGAGCTGCCTGTTTTCCAAGGTGACTGTTACAAAGTAGTGTGGAGACGGCGGCCTCACCATGAGGTCTCTGGCGACGGCAGACTCACAGGGGCTCAAGGACACCACCGTGAGTGTCCGTGGTCCTGAGCGGGCACGGCCACTCCTGCTGTACTTCAGCTCCCAGGCCCTGCTCCCAGACGAGTTGATTAGTGCTCCTGGGGTTCATGGGTTGGAGGAGGGTGATCCCAGTAATGGGGATGGTTCAGGAAGATTTCCAAAGGGGTGGGATGGGAGCTGGCCTTGAAGCATCGAGAGGATTTGGGTAGAGTGGGATGGGGAGGGTAAAGTGGAGGAGGTGGAGAGAAACGGCATCCCCACCCCCACTGCGCACCTGCCAGGCATTTTGTTAGCACGTTGAGTCTTTTTCATTTTAACTTTCCTGTCAACTCTGCTTGGTCGATGGTTCCAAACCCACGGTTCCAGGTGCCAGAGAGAGAGGGCTATGACCCATGGTGATGAGGGCTCTTGGGAGAGGGAGGGCAGAATTTCGAGCCTGGCACAGGGGAGATGGGCGAGAGAGAAAGGAGGTGGGGACCAGAGGCGGGGTTGGGGGCCTCGCGGTGTGGGGCGAGTCCCCGAGCAGCCAGGGCTGACTCTGCTCTGTCTCTGCTCTCTGGCTGCAGATCTGGCCGAGTGCAAGCTGGTTTCCTTCCCCATTGGCATCTACAAGGTCCTGCGGAATGTCACCGACCAGATCCACCTCATCACGCTGGCCAACAATGAGCTCAAGTCCCTCACCAGCAAGTTCATGACCACGTTCTGTCAGCTCCGAGGTAGGCCCTGCTCGGCCCCGCTGGGAGGGCGTGGCCAGCCCTTGGCCTTCAGGTGCCAGCTCTGTGTGGACAGTGTCCACTCGGGCCAGGGTCCGGTCAGCTAGACTCTGGAAATCATTCCCGGGAGAGGCTTCGAGGCTGGAACCATGTCATCCCTATGGCCTGGGATTGTAAGGACTGTAAGCATCGCTCCTCCGTCTAGCTGGCTGTGAATCAGATCGACCGATGGTCAAGGGTGTGGGGTCCCGGAGTGACTGTCTTGTTCAGAGCAGACCAGAGGACGGTGTGGGGCCCTGACGCCCGTAAGTAGTTATTTCTCAGTAGGCTTGAACCAGTCCCCTTTGTACCCTGCCACCCTAGTCCTGGTTTCCTGCACGCCTTGCGGCCGGCAGGTGACATCATGGATTCTCTTGAAACAGCTCCTCTGGCTGGGCGAGCCAGGTATGGTGGCCGCTGCAGTGCTTGCTCCGCTCTTCCCCACAGAGCAGCCCCTCTACCTTTCCACGAGATTCCCCTGCCGCTCGGTGAGCCATGGGTGGGAAAACTGGGAAGGGCCCAGGGAGCAGAGGAGAGGCGCCTCCTGCCTTCTGGAATTCTGTCTCGTAGAGGCATGAGACAGATCAGGGCCTGTTTCGAGAAACCAGTAAGTCACATGCTGATGCAGCAGGAGGCCGCGCACAGGCATACCTCACACGGCTGATTTCAGGCCTCCTAGGGGAGGTGAGGGCATCAGGCAGAGCCCCGAGGGGAGAGGGAGGCATGACTTGGCAAACGCAGCCCTGGGACGAGAAGCAAGTTGTATAAGGCTCAGGAATGGTCTACAGGCAGGGCCTGGAAAGGCCACTGGCTAGCTGCACACACGCGGCCCAGTGGGGAGGGATTGGTGTGTGTTGTCATTTCTGAGTGACGCTCACAGGGCTCGCTGCTTTGGGGCCTAAACCCCTGGGGGGTGGCGGATCCTAGGGCAGCACTTGGCTCCCTGGAGGCACCCTGGGCACTTTGAACCAGACTAACTTTCCCCGTCTTCTGCCCTTTTCTCTTGGCTGCTTCTCTGCATGGGCAAGAGGGGCCCTCACAGCCTGCAGGCCCTGTGGACCACCGTGCTTGGGCCTGGCAGAAATTAGAATCATCTGGGGCACTTTTCTACAAACATAGACGCCTTAGCTCTACCCCACGGCCAGTTGAGCCAGAATGTCTGAGTATGGGCCTGGGCCTTGTGAGCATGTTTTAAAACCTGATCCAGTCATTCTGAAATGCCAAGACTGAGGCCATGGCTCGGGTTATACATGCAAATACCTAAGAGACTAGCGTGTGAGCGATGAGCATCAGGACTTGAGCTTGGGTGGCGGGTGCGGGGGGACTGTGACAAACTAAAACACGCCCCACTCAGCTTCAGCCAGATACGCCACGAGAATGTTCTGTTTTATTCAGTAGAAGCTAGAGAGAGGGGCTTAATGGGGGCTGTACCAATTTTTATATAGTCTGGAAGCTGATAAAATTCCTGCATGGTGGATCCAGCCTGTGGGCTGTAAGTTGGAAGACTCTCCCATAATTAGAGCCGTCTCTGCCACGTCCTTTGGTGCCTGGGAAAGGAAAGTCAGGGAGAGGAGGCTTGTTAGGAATCTCAGAGCCACACACCCACGTGCTCCACGTGCAGGCTAGGGCTGTCTTTCCGGGCCCTCCTGCGGTAGCCCACGGGTCCCCTAGAGATGTTTGCTTCCCAGAGGAGAGTAGAAGGATCAAAACTGCACAGCGGGGCTTGGCAGGGACCTCGAGGAAGGCCAGCCAGCTAACGCCCGAGTTCGCTTGTGTTTCCCTTCATTCCGCTTTCCCTTGGGTCCCTGCCGTGTTCCAGGTGTGTGTCTGGAGGCTGGGGAAGAGACTGGTAGGCCAGGGTGTCCCTTAAGGAGCCCAGGGTCGTCCTGTGCACTGGTGTGCACGGCGTGCTGAGGCCGCTGGGAAGGAAACGTCGTCATCCTCCCTGTGAGTGGCGTGGGCGGCAGGTGGGCATGGAAGCAAGGGCTTTCAAAGGACTTCACATTTGGCAGCGCCTTGGGGGATGAATAAGTAGGCCCTCTCTAGGGGGCACGGTGACACATGCCAGAGAAACGCACCTGGAGCCCCGCACCTTTGTGCCTTCGCTACAGAAGCGTTTCTCATAATACCCTTCCGGTCAGACGTCCGTTCAAGGATGCGGTTTGCACTCCCTCCATGTGGCTGGCAGCCCTCCCCCATGCCGCCCCAATCACAAAGGGAAAGTTGTGCTGTGCACAGTCATTGGACCTCACAGAGGTGGCGGTGGCGGTGGCAGCAGCCGATGGCAGGCTGGTGACCAGGGGCAGGGAGGGGCTGGAGCTGAGAGCCGCACCTGGCTCCCCAAGTGATGGCCCTGGGCCCCACCCAGGATTTGTGGTTTCTCTTTCAAATCGAAAAATGCTTCCCTTTTATGTATGAAGGGGAAGCTTGAATAAGGCTTTACTGGCTTGCCAGCTTCCTCTTCTTGGTTCTTGACAGAGGAGGCAGACTGCCTTGGTGCTGAGGAGAAAGCCGTCTGTCTCCTCTCCACCTGCCACATTGTCTCCGGTGGGCACCCTGGGGACTGGCTTCTGCCAGGCTCATAGCCCCCTCAGAGTTGGGTCATCTTTAAATGACTCCATCACCTTGATGCCCTTCACCCATGTTCTAGAAGAAGAAAGCAAAACCCAAGAAAGCCCGCGGCACCAATGGAATCCGTGCAAAGGGCAGGCACGCCCTATGGAGCGTGTCTCATTGTCTGACTCTGGCTCCTCTGTTCCCTGTTCTCCCGCGTGCCCGTCTCCTCACTTCCTCCGAATCTGGGCCATTCCGCTCTTCTTATGACTGTGCCCAGGGCCTGCACACCTGTGGAAACCCACAAAAGCCACCCAGATGAGCAGCAGAGGCTGTTTATTCAGAACTGGCTCTGGTGCAGTGGTGGGGGGTGGGGGGCCAGCAGCTGTCACCGGCATCTGGCAGAGACTCAAAGGCAGGCAGAGGAGTGGGATAAAAGGGAAGAGGATAAAAGGGCAGGCTGTGCCCCGCTTGCAGGGGAGAGGGGAGCTGGAGGCAGGCCAGCTCGCAGTGAGCATCCCATGGGATTGGTTTGGGTACATTTTTGCCTTTCTCCAGTTGACCCGAAGTTGGATATTGGAGCAAGAATTAGGGAGACTGTCTGTTGGTAATCAAGTCCTGGCCATTTTGGGGACTGATTGTTATGGGAGTCATATCTGGCTTCCTGGAGAGACCGCCATCTGAGTCCCCGTGAGTGTGAGTGAGAGCAGACTGGCAGCCGGGGCTGGTTCCCACAGAGGCTGGATTGGTTCCCTGGGTGGGGGGCTGCAGGGTGGGGGTCGGCGTGCTGTCTTCATAAGCGACCTGGCTGCTGTCAGTGTGTCTGTTCAGTTGCTCACAGCCGGCCTCTCAGCTCTGTGCAGCCGGTCCTCAGGAGCACCTGTTGTGGCCCGGCTGTGGGCACAGACACGTGAATAGTAACCCGAGGGTCCAGATTTGCGGGGGAAATAGCCCTCAAAGCTTCTCGCAGAGGGATTGACTTGTGTCATCTCAGTTAACCCTCCTAGCACCAGCCATCTGGGGTGGACAGGATGATAAAGACCTAGACGTGGTCCTTGAGGAGTCCCCAGTCTCTCAGTGGAGGCAGGTGTGGAAGCAGACCGCCACCTAAGCCCCGAGGGGTGGCACGACAGGCATTCACTGCAAGTGTGGTGGGTGGGCCAAGGAGGCGGAAGTCAGGGCTGCCTCGTGTGCGAGTATCGGGTCGCTGGGGCCGCCAGAACAGAGCACCGCTGCCCAGGCCTCCACCAACAGACATTCATTGCCCGCAGTCCTGGCATCTGGGAATCAGACATTGAGGAGTCAGAAGGTTGGGTTTCTTCAGAAAAGATCTCACCTCCCAACACAGTCACACTGTGAGGTACAGGGGGCTAGGGCTTCAACATAGGAACTGTTGGGGGGGGGGCACCAAGACGAGGGGCTGGGCTGTTTGGTGTTCAAAGCATGGACACCCAGTTCTGGGGCTTGCTGTCTTCTGTTTCCCTCTGATCCTACTCTCTCTTCCCCTGTGGCTGTGGTTGGAGGCGGCCGCTGGGGAGCCCTGCAGGAGATCAGGGGGTGAGAGAGAAGCAGCTCAGTGAATACCTCCCATGAGGCCCACCTCATCCCGAGGTCACTTCCCTCGAGGCAGCCTCCACATGACTGTCTCATCCCAGGGTTGCTGTGGGTGGCGACAGCTCCCTGCTCCGCACCCGGGGTTCCTGCATGATCCCTTGACATTCCCCTACAGCTCCCTATGCCTTTGTAAACAGCTCCTTGCAAATAAAGCCTTCATGATTGTCCTAATTGGAGGGTGCCATCTGTTCCTGGTTGGGGCCCTAAGGCTCTTTGCCACTTATTAGCTCTCTAAGCCTGGGCAGGTTGTTGAATGGCACTGTGCCTCAGTTTCCCCCTTAGTATCATGGAATGGTGACGGTAAAGGCTTTACGTCATAGGGCTCCTGTGTAGATTGGCTGAGTTCATCTGTGCACACCCCTGGGCCAGGGGTGGGGGGCGCGGGGAGGCGCTGCAGCTCCAGCACCTTCCACCACAGGACCTGGCCCATAGTAGCCGGTGTTCAAAATGACCCGCTGAGCGGTGAATGAGCGACTTCCCACCACCTGGTTGGCGGAGTAATGACCCTCCCCACAGATGTCCACGTCCTAGTTCTCACCACCTGTGACTCTGTTATCTTATGTAGCAAAAGAGGCTTTGCGGATGGGACTAAGCTGAGGACCTGGACTTGGAGATCCCAGGTTAAGTGGGAGGGGTGTGGATGTCCTCCCGGGGGTCTTCACGAGGAGGCAGGGGGCCTGAGACAGGACGGTAGAAGCAGAGACTGGAGCGGTATGGCCACAAGGGCCTAGAAGCCAGGAAGGTCAAGGCACGGACTCTCCTCTAGAAACTCCAGACCGTACATAGCTCTATAACGT